TAAACGTGTGCTGAGCACAAATAATGTGTTCCCTTGTGGCAGAAATCTTCTGGGCTCTTCTAGTAAAGCTCTTAACTGTTTGATGTTGGCCTTGTGTCAGGGTAGATCCAGAATGCTGGATCATCCACCCAGATCCAAGGAAGGAGAGGGCTCTGAAGCCCAAGCCCTTCCCCTGGGCAGTACCAGTTTCCTGGTCCTAATGTGTCCCTGGGCATTGCCTGTGGCTTTGGTCAGTGATTTTTTGCCTTGTGGGACTTGGTTGGTATCCCTGGAGGCTGCAGCACTACCAGTTTACTACGCTCTGGAGCCCCAGGTGGGACACTTGTAGAAAACTTGTGTGGAGGTGCAGGTGGGGAGTGCTGGGGGAACCTGTTTCCCTGCTGTCAGCCAGGCTGTGGAGCAGGTACCGTGTGACGAGTTCCAAGTGGCTCACCCAAGTCTGCTCTCCCACTTAGAAAGCTGAGATCTATGAAATAACTGAAGTGATCAACTGAAAACCACGGCACTGGGACAGCTAATGGCTGGAATTCCCATGTAACTCCATTCTTGGGGAGTCAGTGAGGGGGGGGGAAAGGGGTTGTGCCTGACCCAGGTGATTTCCAGCCCCAGTGCCAGCAGGCTGGGGCCATGGCAGGCTGTTCCAGCCTCCCCTAAGTTGCACCCAGAGCCCCAGGCCAGGGGGTGAACCGAGGGCAGCCCCGTGCCCTTTCCCCCCAGCCCCATTGAGCAATGCCTGCCCAGCTGAGCGTCTGCTGCTCCCAGACAGATACAATAACTGGTCTGTGAGAGCGCTCAGGCCAATTAAATCTTATCATCCAATCATTCTGTTCCATCGCCCCACTTAATTAGCCATGGGCTTTGGTATGTCAGCAATGCTCTGCCATGCCAAAAACTGCAAGTATTCTTTGTGTGGTACACACCCAGCAACGGCCTGTCTGCCAGCCAGGGGCACACCAACAACTGTTCCTCCTGCAGCAGGGCCGTGTGTGCTGCGAGATGTAAGTGCCCACTTCTGGCTTTTCAAACCAAAATGATTTAGAATCCCCGGTCTTTTCATCTGGGCACTCAGCTGTCCCTGCAGGAAAAGCAAGCTGGCTTCTCATCAGCTGCTTTGGGAGCATAAACTGTGATGAGTCACACAAAACCCACAACTGAAAGGGTTCCTCGAGTGTGAGTTGTTAATAGGGCCCTTTCTGTTTACAGATGATAAATTCGGGAAGACTCTACAGGAACACAAATTAGCTGCTCGTTAGCAGGCGATCAGAGCTGCTGCCTCCATCCTGTTCTGCAGCAGGGGCCCTGGGCTTGGAGAACGTGGATCAGGTGAGGGTCTGACCTAGTTCTGGTTGGTATGTTTGAAAACATCCAAACCCAGGCAGGTCCTCACATCCCACTTGTGGCATGAAAGCGCCTGATTTGGCAACCTGTGCTGTGAATGGCTGGAATTTTTTTCCTCCTTAGATTTGAGCAGCCAGTAAGTGTGGGTGAGGAGCTCTGTGACCTGTAGAACCCAACCTGGAAGAGCTTATCAACAAAGGGCAGCAAGGGATGATTAGGAATTGGGAGACAGTTGGTTCCCTGCTACCCACTGATGCTGAGCCCCATTTTCACTGCCAGGGAGAAAGAGGCCTCTGACCTACCTGTGACGAGGAATCCAGTTATTCAGTGGGAGTAGGATCTATTTATCAGCCCCCCCAAAGCCCTGCTCTGCCATCTGAGGCATTTGACAGGTGTGAGAAGGCACTTGGCCTATTTTTGTTGTGCAGCAAATCCTTTTTCCTGCTCTCCTTGGGGCTCAGTCCCATCCTTGGATCTGAGCTCACTGCTCTCTGTCACTGCCATGGCAATGTTCTGTGCCTGAAGGTAGAATTTGGCAGTGATGTGAACGGATGACATCTGCAATCTTCTCCCAGATGGGGACCCAAAGGACACCAACAGGTGCTGATGAGCATCCAGCCAGCCTGTTTGTAAATCCTACATGGATCTTGCAGAGACTTGGAGAGAACTTGGACTTCCTGCAGGAACAGAGGTGAGGGTTTAGTCTCTTTATCTGGGTTGCCCGTGTAGGACCTCAATTGCCACAACAGCTAAAAAGCCCAGCTGATGGTTCCTCCTGCTGTGTGTCACAGCTGGGTGTGCTGCTGCCTCTTGTCCTTCATGTGAAAACCTTTTCCTTCCTATAATCCCTAGGAAAGCTAATCCCAGAAGTTACATTAGCATGAAATAATCAGTTCCATCACTGGTAGAATTCCAACATTCCCATGAACCCCTGGATTTATTTAAAGCAATGGGGCAATATATGTTCACCTCTGCTGAGCTGCAGTTGGTTTGTGGGCCTGTGCAGAAGGAGTAACTCCAGAAGTCCCACCATCACTGCTATTCACTGATTTAAAACATGAATCCTCCTGGCTTTTCACTTGTCTGCTTCAGGAAGTCACTTGCCTTTGTTTCCCTTCACCATCCTTTGCTGTACGAGCCCAGAAAACTGCCTGAACCAGCCTTTCCTTGCATCCTCAGCAGCAATTTGCCTTCCTGATCTCTCTGTCTCCAGATCATTCACCAGAAATCCTTTTGATTTTCCCCCTTGATTCTCAGGCCTTCTGCCGTGGGAGCTCCATGGAGACAGATAAGCTGTCGCTGGTGACAAGGCACATATCCTGTGGCCAAATACTCACCACTAAACCTTTCCCCTCCCCTCTCTTGCTGAGACTGCCAATGTGTGAGGATTTCCTGGCGTCCCAGGGGTGATTTTTAATTTCTGTGGGCTGTTCTTATTTAGGCTGGTTGAGACTCCTCCTCAAAGAGACTTTTTTTTTCATGATTTTTTTTGTCAAAGGTACTTTTAAATGCAAAGTGTGGCTCTGTTTAAAGGGAAGGGAGGGGGGAAAAAGAAGGCCAGAGGAGGTGTAACTTCAAGACTGTGTGAAACACAACCTTGTCCAGAGCAGCTCAGACTCCTGCAGTGTGTAAATACCTTCCCTACCCTTCCCACCGGGCTCCAGGGATTTTCCACGGGATAATGAGTCGAAGTCCAAATAACGGCCCGTTTGGGATGATTGATGGGGGATGTTGTGCACACACCCAGAATGTGTCATTTCCAATCTAAAGGGAAGCAATTGTTTCCATATGTTGGCACGTTTGGGGGCTTGGTGTGGAGCCAGTTGTCTGGCTGTGATCAGGCAGCAGCATCTCCCAGTGATGGAAGATTATACCTTGGGAGGGGGGTGCTCACTTTAGGCTGTATTCCTTAAAAGGGTATGAACTCTGAACACTTATCCAGGGTGTAATTTATGGCTCCAGCATGTTTTGACTTTTCATAGATGAAAAACCAGCCCTTTTCTCTATGCCTATATGCATAAAAATTCCTCCCTGCCCCTGTCCCCCCCCTCGAGGAATCCAATGGAACAATAGCTGCTGCTGGGCTGTGTGCTCCCTTGGCTGCATGGGCTGTGCCTGCTGAGGCTTAGAAGGATTCCCCCTCTTTAAACCCAGTTCCTTAGAGGTATTTTAACAGCTACATCTAGTTTTGTTAACTCAATCTGGTTCTGGTTGCTCAGCTGGAATTCAGGCTCTTGGACCAGCTTTTAGAGATGCCCTGCACCTACCAAACCCACCTGTTTGGGAATTTGGTTTTGTTTCTTTTTTAAGGTGTCAAACTTAGTTGCATGTTGCTGCACAAATAGATTAATATGATTTTCAGACTTCAGCACTAAGATTCCTCCCTGCCAAGGCCCTGCTAAGTCTGCATCAAGCACAGGTACCCCAGGGAGAGGAGAAGCTAAAGGCTGCTGGGAGAGGGTATTTTTAACATAGTAAGAAGGCACCAATTTAAAATATTCTGTGAGTTCCCCAGCTGTCTACAATTCCCTGAACCACCAGCACTGGAGCAAAGCTGCCTGATGGTGATCCAGCCAGCGAGGGATCACCACATCCTTCCTGAAGCTTCCTGGCAGCACAAAACCTACAGGAGATATTGTGTGTGTGACCCCATTTGGAAAACACACAGGCCGGTCAGCAGAGAGGCACAGGGTGCTTTCTGTGTCATGGCCAGACCAGTCCTTTGGGGTAATCTCAGGATGGAATCCCAAAAGAGGCATTTTCTCCCCTCCCTAAAAGATGAGTGATCATCAAGCTTTTAATTGTGCAGCCCTGCAGGACACAGTGGGCAGAGCCATCCAGATCACTGCAGCAGTGCTTGGAGAGTAATGAACACACCACATCACTCTTCAGCATCCCCAGTTCATTTGGGGGGAATGGGCTCAATTAGCATTTTAACTCCAGAAGGGTTTGTGGCTGGAGTGTCTGGGAGCTGTGTGTTGACCACCCTGATGATCCTCTCTGCTTACATTTGGAGTGAGATGCTGGAATGCTGAAAGGCCAAGGATGCACATCTCTTCCCAAGGTGGCTTGCAGTGTTGTGAAAGGAAAGCACAGAGACAGATTGGTTTCTCTTTTCAGTAGTGTGCATGGCTTTCTGTGAATTTATTGGGACTGTTGCCTTATTAAGGCTCTTTACTGGAATATTTACATAATATATTGTGAATAGATAACATTCCATTTAGAGAAATGAACTAGTGTCTTTTTCATAGATGATTAATTTGCAAAACTAATGTGCTGAAATGTCTGAGGATAGATAATGTATTCAACAGCTACCAAAACTTACTTTGGGAGTAATTTATTGGGAAAACGGTTTTGATCTTCTGAGCAGTTGTTTGGATATTGGGGAAAGAATCCTCAGTACCTTTAAGTGAGCCACGTGCACACTCAGAGTTTCAACCATGGCATTATTCACATGTGCTTCTGAGCAATTTGGGTTCTACCTTGTCTCTGAAGAATGGCGTTTCCAGGCAGCAGAAGCAGAGTCTGGAATTGATAACATTCACTACCATGGCTGGTAAGAATATCTATAAAACTATCCCTCTGTATTCCAGCACAGAAACTGGACAACCAGGAGTGTTCATTCGAAGTGTGCCTCAGCCATCTGGAGCTCCAGGCGTCCCTCAGGCTCTTTGGGCTCCATGGACAGCTGCAGATCCACGTGAGTGCTCTCTTGTAGGAACTTCCCAAGTTCTGTCTGCATCCCCGAACTGCCAGGATTGCCATTCCCCTCCTGCAGCTGGGGAGAGGGAGGGCTGAGCTGGAACACATCTCTGCCCAGGACTGCTCTGGAATGATTGACCTAAAACCGCTGCCCTCTCCTCCAAAACTCCTGCGTTCCAGTGCTGGAATGTAGGTCTGGCCTCTCCTCAGAGCCACGGTGGTGCTAATTAGCTACTTCAGCACATTAACGGCCCTGGTATATGTGTCAATACGCTCATCTAACGAGCTGCTCGGGTTAATTACGACCTCATTGAGCCAACCAGTGTTTGAAGGGTGGGAGATCCATTTCCCTTCTCGGTGTGGGGGCTCCTTCCCTCCCTGCCTGCCCTGCCTGGAGCCACGGTGACCTTGAGGGACTCTCTGTTAGAGCAATGGCTGAGGAAATGGGATCTGCACGAAGGGCTTTACTTCTGTGATAACAAGGGTTATCACACTCAGACTCCTGTGCCTGATCTGGCCTTTGCTGCTATATGGGGCCTTTGGACCACTATTTCTGCATGCTGGTCATAGTCCTAAAATAACTGTCCCTAAATTAGCCACTTCAGTTCCTGGGAGCAGTCTGGCTGTCACAGCAGAGCTTGATATAGGCCAAGTTGGATTTTTTTTTTTTTTTGAGAGAAAATGTACTCTTTTGAGGTTAATAATTATCTAATTACTCTGTTAATAATAGATACCTCTCAACATACTAATGGTGTAGCATATATTTTTCAGCAGGATGAGATCCCTTGGCAGGTGCAGGTCTTGGTCCAGCAATGATGCAGCAATAAATCAGCATCTATTCGTGTGCTGCTGGTTGTATCACAGGGATGCCAACTACTAATTTACTCTGTTCCAGCTCTGCTTCCCCATTCCAGGTTTATCTGAGGGGTTTGTGTCCTGGTGGTTCTGACAACTTCACTGTGTTGCCTCTGTGCAGATGGAAGTGCAGTGGCCTACATTTCCCTGGGATCAGGGAGACAGCCTGACCCACTTGAAACACAGTAACCAGCCCTGCTTTCCCCACGGGCTGGTCCACCACTGGGACTGCTCTCATGCCATGCCTCAAGCTGAAAATGCAGAATTTCTGGTCATTTTGGAGAATTTGATACTGAGAATTTAAATGGTGCTTCACATTTTGTTTTCTTCCCCTTGTGCCCGGGTGTGTCACGGTTCAGTGTAAAGGGTCAGTCTGTGTTTCATTAAATATTAATAGGGAAAATGATTTGTGCTCGTTTAGAGGGTAACACTGCTGTGCTAATGGATAGAAAATTGCCTGGAAGGCTGCTGGAAAAGTTGTAGTGGCGACTGGTCCTGAACCACTGAGCGTGGAGTTTCTGAACTGTCCTGCCAGGGGGATGGGTGATGTGAAGAGGTGAGAAATCTATGGGAAAACAAGAAGAAAGGTACTGTAAGGAGTATTCAGATCTGCCAAGGGATCTAATAGGCCTTTTCTGCCAAAGCCTGCCAGCCTGGCCTTCATGCTGAGCCCAAAGCACTGCTCTGAGGCCACCTCAGCAGTGCTGCCCCTCAGCCAAACCTCTGACACGTGTGAGCCAAGCCAAGTATCCGACTCCTGGTGCCGGTTCCCCTTGTGGGAATGTTGTGGTCTCAGAGCCCCTGGAGCAGCCCAGGAGGAGCAGCTGTCCCTGGTGTTGATGTAGCCTGTGCTCTGACCTTCCTTGGCCAGGTACAAGTGCTCCCTGCCATTGTGATCCTGTTGTGTTTTCCAGTTCCACTCGTGACTCCCGGAGCATCCGCAGGTCTCCCGGAGATGTTCCAGGAACCTCCTTTAGCCGCTGGTCCAGCGCCAGGGACTCTGCTAATGGACTCCTCCAAGGAAAGGTAAGACAATGTGCATCCTGTGTGATTAATGGCATGCAGGGAAGGGCAGGAGGACGTTTATCCCACAGCTTCCCACTGTCTGTGCACTGTGAAGATTTGTTGTCGGATGCTGTAGGTTTGCTGACAGTTCACGTGAAGGATCTGCTCTTTTGTACTGCTGGGATGTGCTCCCTCTGTGCTTTGAGTGTTGTAGCACCCAGGCTTCCTGTGGGCGTGATAAACAATAACCTAATCGTAAATCACATGAGCTGGGTTTCTAAAGAGGGTGTTTATGCTGTGGCTTCACCAAACCCAACTGTCTCTGCCTGTGAAAAAGCTGGAATGAGTAAGATAAGAACAAGGGTAATGCATAGCTCTTAGCATTAACTCTTGCCAGGCCGTGGCTCTTAGGATCTTGTACGTGTGGTTGTACATCTCATATAAATCAGTGACTTAGCATAAATAGGCTATAATATACATAAACAGACTCTGACAGGCTTCAAGAAGCCCCAGAATGCAGGATTTGATAGAGAGAAGCGTTTTGAGCAAGGCAGGGTGTGCTGGCTGCCATGCCTGTCTATTTGAACAGATCATGCTAAGCAGGCTCCTGCGTGGCTGTGCCGAGCAGGAGCGTTGGGATGCACTCACAAATCTCCTGGCCTACAAAGGCAGCGGCTCAGCATCGTCTCCATGGCAACCCCGGAGCCAGAGATGAAATCTGATATGAATAGTCTGGGGGGAAGAGCCGTATGCGAGTCACACACTCCGAGCAGGCTGCTTGGGAACCCGGCAAAATAACATGCATTTGCTCTTACTTGTTGCTTCTCCCTGAGTGTTCCTGGCGTGCCCCGCTCCGTGAATAAAGCGGGCTGACAATCCAGCCATTATTCCAGGGCCCGCAGCCACTCGGAGCCAGGCCAAGGGCCAGCGCAGCGGCCGAGGAACGGGGTGGGGGGAGCTGTGCCAGCACTTGAGCTCATAAATGAACTCAGCCCACAGCTGCATCTCCGAGCTGCTTGTGTTGCCCTGCTTAATGTCAGCCCTGTTCCCCCTCGCAGTGCTCGGGGTGTGCACACACCAAACCAGGCAGGGGCCGGCAGAGCCTGAGGGAGCAGGAACGTTCCTGAGTGCTGCAGGGTCGTGTTCACCAGGACAGCCAGGCACACAGAGAGCAAACTCAGTGCAAAGGGAGTGACCTCACCCAGGCTCTTCCTGCAGAATTCCTAGGAGACAGTAGGCTCTGCAAATCCCTTATCAAAACCAGACGTCAGAGGAGTAGCCAAGGCATAGCCCAGAATTCCTGTGGGAGGACACAAAAGTTCAGGCATTTCTCAGACAGTTGGCTGCCCTGCTGGGGAGGAGCCCTCATGTCCTGCAGTGAAACACTTTTGGTGGATAGAGGGAGAGGGGTTTACCCACTGCACATAAAACCAGGGACACACAAAGCGCCTGCAGTGGCTCTGGGGCCGGTCCTTGCTCTGATTTTAATATCAATAACACCAACCATGAGCTGACCTCAGCGAGGAGTTGGAGGAACACAGTCCCCCTTTGACACCCCAACAGCTGCACCATCCTTTGATGTCCCCTCAAAACTACAGGTTTATCAGAACCTTCTTTAACGGTGAATTTTCACTGCCTCCCTCGCTTCTTCCTCTACGATCCCGCAAGATGACTTTCAAATCTACAAACACTTCCAGGGCTGCTGCTTAGGAGCAGAAGCCGCTGTGATTCATGAGAAGGTGCTTGGTTTTTTGAAGCAATTACGCTCTTCCTTCCCTGGCTGTGCTGGTTGCTGGGTGTTGTCCATAAATGGGGTTTATTTCCCCCATCCCCTCGGATGCCGCGGAGCGAAGCGTAATTCCGTGTGTGCCGTGTGGTGTCAGCTGCTGATAAATGGGAGCCATTGTTGCTTCCGTAGGAAACAATGACAGCCAAGAGGGACAATTTGCTGCAGTCTACAGGAATGCAAAAATAATGTCACTGCTCTCCACGGCTAATGAAGACAAACTCTGGAGCAGCCCTTCTGAGGGAGAAGAGAATGCTCTTCCCTAGGGTTTAAGTCTGCTTTTCTTTCCTCACATTGCAGTACACTAAACAGGATAACAGTGAATTTACTCTGGGCTTTCCCTCTAGACTGAGAAAACAATTGTTCAAGAGGCTGGAGGACAAGTTTTATTGATATTTCTCCAGTATTTTTCCTTGTACTTTTCACTAGCATTCCCAACAGATTTTCTCCCGCGTTCTTCTTTTTTAACTCAAAAAGAAAACACCCCCTATACAACATGCTGTGATAATTCATTTTTTCTTGCACACTTTCTCTGGATGGATTTTTTTTTTTTTCCCCTACATGAAGTGGCAGCAGCCCAGTGTTATATTTAATCAGATATTTATATAACACACACGGATCCCAACACTGCGCCGATTGACTGCCCAGTTTTGCAAAGATCAGTTTTAGGACTTATTCCCAGGTCCTTATTCTGTAGGGCCCAGGACCTCTAGTCATCATCTGTGCCTCCTTTGTGCCAAGTGCTTTCTGGGGGAACAGTTTCCCTCCCCAAGGCAGGTTTGACACAAGAGAACCGATCACAAACTGAGGTGCTTGGTCCTTGTGCATCCCCAGGGAGCTGCTCTGTTCCTTGAGCCTTGGAAACGGTCTTGGTGGGTTGTTCCCAGGCAGCAAATTTCTGTTCCAAAGGAAGCTGCAAGGGTGGAATTCTGTAAGAGAGCTTTAGCAGGAGACTCCTAAACCTTTTGTCAGATTTTGACATGAGTGTGGGCTATTATTAGGAGATAAGTGCAATATGGGAAAGATGGCTCTTATTTTATCTCTTTCTCTTTTTTTTTTTTCTTTTTTAATCAGAGGTTTTATGAGCCTGAGACTAAAAAAAAACATGATAAGGTCTTTGAAATGTGCTGACATTTTAGGGCTTTTGATAGTGGACACTAAACCTGGGAGTTCCCAATGTTGCTACCCAGAACGTGCACTTGAGTCTTCAGAGTGTTTGCTGACTTTTTGTGACATTTGGAGGCATTGTTGGGAGCTCAGGCATGGGGAATTTCCTCGGGAGCTGTGCTATCCAATGGGTCTGGCTCGTTGGTCTGCGAGCTATAAAACCCTGCAAGGCAAGAACAGGAGGAGAAAAGCACTTGTTCCATCCCCACAGCCAGGAGGTGCAAACTGGACAGGCTCTTGCTGCTCAATGAGGTGTCTGTGTTTCGTGAATACAAACACAAGAGGGGCTTCAGGGAGCATAGATTTATTTTTTTTTTCTACCCTTAGAGAGATGGCGGTGGGTAAGGATCAGTTAGACACGTGTGTGTGTGTGTGCGTGTGTTGTTCAGAGCTCAGCCATGGAATTCCTTTAGGAGCTGTGCTCAGTGTGTCTGGGTGGCTGCTCTGTCCCTTTGGGACAGGAGTTTCCAATCTCTTTGCACACCTGACAGGCAGAGTTGTGTGAGAAGATGCCACAGTGTCCAGGAAACCCCAGTCTAGATGAGCTGAGGGTAGTTCATGATTCAAGACTTGCATTTGTGCTGTGGAATGAGGGCAGCCAGTGGTTAACCAGGTTATTGTCCCTATAGCACTGATTGAACAGAACTTGTGAGGTTTGATCTCTCTGGGTGGGCTGGGGGATTTTTGAGACCACTTACACTTAATCGAGTTATAATTGCAATACACGAGTCTGTCACTGCTCAGCCTAAACCTCGTGTTGCACTCAGCTGACAGCACGCTTTAAAATCCAAATAACCTGTGAGGTGGCACCAAATCTTTCCCAATCAAACCCCAGTTGGAGGGTGGGGCTGAAGTGAATGAAAGTGCTGCCAGCAGCAGTTGGGTGCAGCCCTGTGCGGTGCTTTGTGCTCCAATTGTCTCAGGGCCGTGGCTTTCACCCCCTGCCAGTTAATGGAAGTGCAGAGTCAGTGGTTCCAACCTAACAAAGGCAGTGGAGCCCCAGCTGAACACACGTTTCCCCTGGGCAGTAAGTGATGGGAGCAGGACAAAACTGCAGCCTTTGGAAAAGGCCCCGGCCCTGGCGCTGCGTCTCGTTGGCACGGATCAGCAGGGATTAGGCTGTGGCCCATGGAAGTTCCTACTAGAACTCCTCTATGAATACAACTGCTGTCACTGCACAGGGGAGGGGAAGTGGTTTGTGCAACCACAGAGTGTCTGTGAAACGCTGTGGTTTGAACCAGGGGTGAAAGTGGGGAGCATCTGATGTGAAGTGAGCAAACATCAAACCTAATGGCTGAAATGTTACTCTAGGAAATCACTGCTGAGTGAGTGCTCGTGTCCTGATTGCTGTTCTGGCCAAGAGTCTGCTTAAATTTAACAGCAACTAAAGACAGATTTTCTGAGAGCTCTATGGATGGTCTACAACCCCTTCATAGCACAGCTCAGTGCAATTGTGCCTGTGGCCTTCCCTCTGCCTCCAATCCCTCTCGACTTGTCCTCAAAAATGACCTTTTTCAATGTGAAACCTATTTGCCAGTACTTGAGAGGAGATGTGAGAGCAATGGGATCATAAAAAAAATACTGATCTTAGTTTGTTTTGTTTTTAGTGACTCAGAAGAACACGTAGAAGCCAAGAAGCAGTTGAGAAGGCGTGTGGGGAAGGTGAGCATCACACACAGGTCTGGCACTGATCTCCTCAGCCTCCTTTCCCTGCTCCTTCCTGCCTGGACCAGACTGCCTGGGAACATCCCTGGACAGTGCAACATCTCTGAAGGTGGTATGTGCAACTTATACACTGGGCTCTGATCTTATTCCTGTGCAGAGAATGATACAGAGAAAGCACCAAAACACTTATTCACTGCAAATGTCAGTTAAAAACGTTAATAAAATGGCAAGGTAGAACGTGGGCAGTGAGCACGTTCATCCTGCTGCTGAGCATCCAAATCAATTTTGAAAAGAATCAAAATAATTCCAGCCATGCAAAATCACAGAAAAATAACCCTGTTTAAATAATTAATAGTGAATGCTTTTACAATGCTTTTTTGCATAGTTGGGGTGCTTTGCTGAGCTATAAACCATTTTCATCGAGCAATTGCTGCTCCTGTCACTGAAATGGGTCAATACACTGTGGATTTAAACAATTGACATTAACCTTACATATAAACAGTGCAAAGACAAGATATCCTGACAGTATCACCATGGCCTGTGTCTCCAGGCAGAGAGATTTCTCAGGCCATTTGGAAGCCAATTGTTCTGGAAGCTTTGGTTCTCCGTATCAGAAACAGAGGAAAGACTCTGCTAGAACAGAATACTGGGCTTTGGGCATTCAACTGGGCCTTGGGAGAGCTGTGTTTGATCCCTGACTCCGAGCTCCCCGCCCACGGGGTGACAGGGAGCCAGGCAATTTTTGTGAGCATCAGCAAGGATGGTGCTTTCCTACTTTGCAGGAATCCTGGATCGAAGGAGCCAAGGCACCGTGATAACTGTGGCAACGCTGGGGCCAGCCGTGCCAAGCTTTATTTAGCCGTGCTGCAGATCTGCTGCTGTGGTACATGTTAAGCAGAGCCAAAATCCAGAGCTCAGGAGGAGTCTGTGAGTGTTGGAGCACTCTGTGAGATGGTGCCTGCTGATCTCCTTGGTGACAGGAGCTTGTGTCACTAATTGGTCCCCGAGTCTGCAGCACAGGGATGACGTGGGGAGGCTGGAGTTCAGGAGCAGGCTGGAGTTTGGCAATTGCAGCTCCAGGGATTTCATGAAGAATTCTGTGAGAACAGGCAGTTGGGTGTGTACAGAGAGTTTAATGAAGGTCTAGTGCAGATCTCTGGGTTTGTTCACACAGACCTGTTGTCTACTGAGTTACTCTGAAGAGGAACCTCAGGCAGCAGAGTTAATGTAAGAGCCATATTTGGTAAATTATCTTTTCTGTGCCCAAATCATTGGTACAAAACAGATCTTTTGGTGAAGGTTTGTGTTCAGCTCAGGCACACGTGCCTGCAACTTTACATGCTGGAGAATCCATCCTTGGAGGAGGTGTTTGCCATACATCCCACGAGTGGCTTTGCTGCTTTCTTGGTAGCAAGTTAAAATCATGAGTCAGCTAATTGAGCTCGAAAAGCAGTTTAATCCTATTACAGCACATAAGGCACCGTCTTTTTTGCTGTTCTTTGAGTGGTGCTGGTTCATGCACTGTTCCCAGACATCAAGAAACACGTCTGTAAGCAGTCTGTCTCCTCTGAAATAGTGTGGATCCACAGCAGAGCAACAAGTATGACGTGCTGCAGTGCTGTCACTGGGGCTGCCAATCCACCTCAGCTGTGCCTGCTTCATCACTGTTGGTACAGGCCGTGGTGCAGCTGGGGATGGTTTGCCAAAATGTTTGGGTGTCATTTGTCCCTCACACACTTCACTTGCAGCAAACACCTGGAGTGGAAGCAGCAGGTACCAACAAACCAGTGCATCGTGTTCTCTGTGTGAGACAATGCGTTCAGAAAGGGAACAGCAGCCCCTCGCTTCAAAAAGGAAACCTGTAAGGGTCAGGTTTGGCTAATGAGGCATTGTTAATAACAATGAAGCAGCTGGCCTATCCAAAAAGTGCTTGGGCACGGAGAATTCTTGGAGTGGGAAGCCTGTAGGGCTGTGGCACAGGGCTCTGCTGTTGCCTCTGGAAAAACAAGTTTGTGAGTTCATTATTCCATGGCAGAACTCTCCCTAGCACCTGGGACTGCTCCATGCTTGCAGTGGGAACTCTGAGGTTGGCTGCTTTCCAGTGCTCCTGCTCTCCTGTTCGGGGTGACCTTCCAAGGAGGAACAGGCCAAGCTGGATTGTTCTGTGGACAAAGGCCTGTTCCCGTGCTGTGGGACTCCGTGTGCTGCAGGATGATCAGCCACCTCACTGACCTCACTTCCTCCGCCTTCCTGAGGGCTTTAAAGCATAACCCAACAACAGGGACAGCACAGTCCTGCTGTTTTAATCACCACCCCGTTCCCCAGTACTCTGCTGAAGCGGGGGCATGCAGGTAATGGATATTTTATTCCAGCAGTTCGTGTGTATTGAGCAATATATTTCCCTACTTACGTGTCAGAGCCTGAAAGGACGATCCATTTTTAATGAGCCACACCAGGCATGGCTGATGTGGAACCTTAATTTTAGACACACGTTTGGGGTTCGTGCATCAGGGGACGCTGTGAATGGCCATGATGAGTTGGGATGACATGAGGAGTGTGTTGTTCTGTGGTGGCTGGAAAACCCAGGCACAGGTAGAGGTGCTCCTGCTGCTGCCTGAGTCCCAGCCCATGGATATTGCAGAGCAGGAGCTGGTACATACATAATGTAACAACCTGTTCCAGCTGACCCATTCTGGAGCCTCTGAAAGGCTCAGTTCCCTGCAGGCAAGGACTAAAAATAAGTCATCTGAAAGGGGTACTAGCTCAGCTAATTAGCAGAGGAGCAGAGCACTCACTGCTGCGCTGAGAAGTGTGCCTGGTTTGCTCCAGCCCGGCTGGGGGTGCCTGGATCGGGAGGATCCTGCCCCGAGTGAGCTCCACAGTGCAGCTGCTGGGGTGAAATGAGGAGCTCTCTGCTCAGGATCCAACCTCTCTGGCCAAATCCACAGTCCTTGATGTTCTGGTGGTGCAAAGCTTGTGTGAGCCTGGCCTGGGGTCCCAAGGAGTGATTCCCTTTCACCGAGGTCAGGGATCCAAGTCCTGACCTGCCTGTGTGGTGATAAAAGTCTACTGTAGTGCATCCCACGATGTTCTGGGGTACAAATATGAGAGGGCAAACTCAGTCAAGCCAGACAGAGACAGAAATTCAGTAAGAGGAGCTTTTCCCAACTTCCTTTGTTGTTGCATCCCACTTCTTTATCTGTTCTACTCACTGCAAAGCCACAGTTCCCTTTCCATGCTTTGCCCTGTTAATTTGGGGTGCTGTGTAGCCTTTTTTGTTGTTGTTGTTGTTTCTCCTAATTCTGTTTGGTTTTATTTTTTTATTATTGTTTTTCAGCAGCTGAGGAAAACTGTCAAGTACTACATTTATGCTGATTGCAAGTGGCAGAGCAATACCACCAAGGCCTTTGTGCCCCAGGAAATCACTGGGGCCCTTTATGGCTGCTGACTCTATTCATCTAGAAGCACCTTTTTGGAATGTTCTCCTTCCCCTGCCAGTTGTTTATTCATGCATCAACAATGAGGAGCAACTGAAGGTGAGCTTACTCTAGCACTTGTAATCTATTAAAATTAAAGAGCTGTGCTTCCAAGAATTGAACTCTCCTTCCCCAAACAGCAAAAGAAAGGACAGACCAGAGCAGAGTGTACCAGGAGATAGGATACGAACCTCCTTCAGCTCCCATAATTAAATACAGAGATTCAAAAGATCAAAGGGCACCTGGGTAGATGAAAAGAAAAGCCTACATGGAATGGATCCATCTCCTGAGCAGCTTCCCATGGATTAGAATGATGTGAAGCTCTATCAATCAAAGCCAAGATGAATGGCTGGGGTTTGAAAGTGTTTGGGCAGAGTGCACTTCTGGCTGGAGTTGAACATAAAAACTGTGGGACTGACAGCAGTGAAACGGGGTGGGAGCTGTCCTACACCTGGTTCTCAGAGTCAGCAGCAGTAGGTGACACTGGGGGGAAGTTGTGTCCCCAGGATTGTCTGAGCCAGGCTGGAGAACCACAGGGAGTGAACACCCTGGGTGCACGGGCAGGGACAGGCAGTGGGGAATCGGGAACTTTCAGCAGCACTGAAACAAGTCCAAGCGCAGGAAAGGGCAGTGAATTCCTGATTCCTGGGAGCATTGGAGCACGGACAAACCCACACCTGGAACAGGTGGGAGTGACTCACTGGGCTTCAGTGGGAGCTGAGGCTGTTGGGCCTCGTGCAGGGGCTGGGCCAGTTTAGCAGGAATTATTTTGGGGGGCACCAGTGAGAGCACCTCTGCTTTCCCAGGGAGTGTTTTCCAGTGCAAGAAGGCTCTTGCTCCTGTTCTTGAGATTTCCCACAATGCCAGCCGGGTTCAAGGCACTTAAGCATCCCTCAGAACAGCCCTTGAGCTTCAAGGAGAGAAGGATCTGAGGCCAATAAGCAGAGTTTAGAGGAACAACACATACTTGACTTTTTTATCGTAAATTATCCCACACCCTTCCTGCGACACAAGTTGCCATCCCGGTGCATCTGCAGGGTAAACACGTGTCCATAATAATTGAGTGCTTATACCCTGCTTTGTTAAGCCCTGCTCTGGTTCAGAAGTCACCAGGGGTAAGTAACCCTCCTGGAGCCAAGCAAGGTGATTGTACCTCATTTACATTTCAATGTCTGCACTGCTCTTCCAGTTCCCAGCTCCTTTATGGAATGGTGATGGTATCTGGGGACTGGGAACAAGAGGGACCTGAAGGCCTGTGTCTGTTTACTGAACAATTTCCGTGGCAATTAAAAAATCACGTGGCTTCGAATTTACGTGGGACCCTTGAAAACCTTATCCTCAGAGGTGTAAGCACTTCCAGCCTTGCTGCCTTGCCCTGTTCCCTATTTCCATGCACACTTTATCCCTTGGAGTGTAGGAAAACGTGTGTGTGCAGTGTCCTGGTGGTCCAGCCTCTGGTGCCACCCTGAAGGATCTGGCTTGGCCGTGGTATGAGTGATCTGGCAGGTCTGTGCTGAATCTCTGAACAATATCAGAATTTAATTGATATATAGAATAGCAGCTAGCAATGAGAACAGATTGCCATGCAAGGAGCAGGAATGTTAAGGTTGGCAGAACTTTATGGAACTCAGATGACAAATTGATTACTAGGGCTTGCTGCTAACTTACAGCAAATTAATCTTCAACACTTGGCTAGACCTTTGCTGGTCTCAGAGGAGCTGGATATCCATCCCAACATCCATAACCCTCAAAGCCTGTGGACTGGTGCTGCTGGTTGGGATGAGGGAGGGGTCACTTGGTCCCTGGGAATGCTGCAGAGCCTCCCTCTGAACTTGGAGCACAAACCCTGCAGACACTGAACAGGCACATTTTGATGTGATGACAGGACATCTTATTGCAATTACTTTGGAGGGACTAAGAGGGATTTGGGAGGCTCCAAACAGTCAGGAAAAGGACGGAGAAAATTGGGTGTGGAGATCTCTCACGCATTTCCTCAGTGTTTGGTGCGTGACCGTGACTGTGATTTATTGTGCCTGAACTGCAGTGGGAGGTGGAGGATCCCAGAGCTTTGGGTTCCAGGTCAGTCACAGGTAGATCCAGATCCAAATTGGGTGAACCCCCTTTGTTCCACCTTTTATTTAGGATCCCAATGCCTGCTCTCAATTCCTAGGCCATTTTTCACTGACTCTGCTGTTTCTTACCAAGCCATAGGTGTTTTTTTTTTTTACTCTGCAGGTGGGTTAAATATCATTTACACTAATTTCTTTCTCTCATGGCTGTTAGAATAACTTGGCCTCCTCCATTAGACAATGCTTGGGTATTAATTGCAGGGTGATTAGTTTGCTCAGAAGTGTTCCTTGTTTGCACAGCTGAGCTGTGCATCTCAGGAGATGGTAAATAAATGCTAGCAAATATCAGAGATGGACTTCCAGGCATAGCAATCCATGTACATTGGTTCTCTCTGGAAAAGGGAGGGCAGGACAGTTGGTTTTGGTTAAGGAAAATTCTTTCTAGCACCGCTGGAGGTGGGCAAAGGAGCAGTTTGGGGTGAGAGCCACAGGGCTGGCTTTGAGCAGGGTAAAAATACCCAAAGGAGCTTGATGTGGCTGAGCATTTCTTGAACAGAGCTGCAGGAGAGGGGAGCATCTGGTGGGATTAATTGCCTGTGATGTTCTGGAGGTGATGGCTGAGTGGGAATGGCTGCAGCAGAGCAGAGATGAGAAGGGTGGGAACAGGTTTGGTTTTCCCCAAAAACTAACTGGTAGAGCATCTCAAAACCTCTCAGAGGAAAACCCACGTGCAGAGATTGTCTTGAGACACCGTAATCTCCCAAAAGCTTCAGTTGCTGAGAAAACATATTATGGAAAGTTTAGGTGTCTGTGCCAAGAACTGACACAGACACAGTGTCTGAGGCTCCCAGTTCCCCTTTTCCAGTAGCTTGTGAGTGTCAGATTTGAACTCTGCAGATGAAGCATCTTGCCCTCGGTGTCAGACTCAGGTTGAACTTGGGTTAACTTTGAACAAAGGCACTTCAGCTCTTCCTCACAACCGAGTGTGTCCCACATTATATGACATTTTTTATAGATGGGTTAAACTTTATTGACTCGCTGTTCAGGAAGGCAGTTACCACAGATGTGTGATTTGTCATTCTGTGAAAGTATCCCGAATTTAGACACTGTAAAACCTCAGTAACACCACCACCTACCAGGGAGAGGCTTGTTAGAGTTTGTCTGTGGGCACAGAGCACGTTCTGGCACGGAAATCCTTCCTCCAATTCCTGCTCCAGGGACAAAATCTGGGAGGTATAAAGTGCAGGGAAGCACCATTTCCTGCCCTCTCACTGCTCCCCGGTGTGGGAGGGGAAAAGAGAGGGCTGAGTAAGCTTAGCTGGGATGGAGGGAAGGAGACATCACTTTTAGGGATGTATGAGTGCAGGGTGAGGTCTGGTGGAGTGGAATTTGGTAGGTCAGCATGACTGAAACAGGTTTCATGAAACCTGAGCGTGACCAGATAAACAGGGAGAGAATGGAAGCCGAGTGATGAGGATGGATGGTGAGGGTTAGGGAGCACCAGGAAAAACAAACCAACCCAAACACCAGCAAAGAGATGAGAAATGCAGAGTTAAGAGCGGAAAGGAAAGGTGGGGAGAAAACACAGTACCTACTTGTTGCTATTAGGGATCACTTTTCCTGGAGGCAGACAGGAGGCTGGGGCCCACTGGGAAAAATTGTGTGTAATAGTTCATCACACTGAAATTGTGCAATCCATGGAGGGGGGAGAGGGCTGAAAACTTCCATCAGAGGAGCAGTTTGGTGTTTTTTATTTGTTCTGAGGGGGTTTTGTGTTTTCAGTGAGGAGGGTAAGTAATCACTGCAGCAGTGTAAGAGGCTGCATAATGAGTGAATAATTAATTTTCCTCCTCTTGGAGCCCCCAAGTCTCTGAGGAAGACAAACCTAAACCAAGATGTAATCCAGTTTACCCAGAATTTATTGCTGGTGAAAGAAATGAGGGATGTTGTGGTGTATGTAAGAGGGGAGGGAATTCAGGCAATTATTCCTAGTTAGGGGGTCTCTGTTCCTTCGATTCTGGCATTTCTACCTCTGCTGTGCTTGGCCATCTCTTCAGTGCTGTTCCTTGTGGAGTCAGGTCAGCTGCAGACAGGAGCAGAAGAGCTGTCCCTGCCTTGGTGGCAGCTCACTCAGGTGTGTTGGCTCCTGTCTGTGGCGCCAGCCTGACCTGGCAGCGTGGGCAGCACCGGAAAAGCTGGAGGAGGGATCATCCAGGGAGGGCCCAGATCTCCCCTGGAGTTCCAAGGTTGACAGGGGCCAGATGATTCTAGAAAGTGCTTTTGGCTTTGTGCCTGCTCGGTCCTATTTCCAGCCTTTCCTGCTGAAGGGAAGCTGATCCTGTTTTCCAGGCAGATGCTTGTCCATGGGGACAGGGAAGTTCTCCTGCAGCAGTGAGTGATGTGATGCAGGAACGGGGGCAGAATAGGAAAGACTGGTGGAAGAGAAGGAAATCTCATTTTTCTACCAAATGTGATGCCTTGAAGTATGCCTGGATCAATGAAATAATTTGGGAAAGCACTGGAAAACCTGTGGGGGGAGTGCTGGCCTGCAGGCTCTGAGTGGTGGCACAGATGACATGGGGATCTTGTCTGGGGCCTCAGCATAAAACCCAGAGCCTGCTGGAGTTCTGGGAAGGGGTGGGAAGTCCCAGGCTGTGTCTTGGGTGGAGACCTGTTGGCTCTGAGGAGTGGGAAGCAGTCCAGGGGGCTGGGGCCAGCTCCATGGCCTCTGCTATCTCCTGGCACGGAGCTCCCGGCTCCCGCAGCCAACGCGGCTCCCTTGCCGCACCCGGGACAAACAGGGGGGTTTGCCTGGAAAATCCAGCCAAAGCTGGCTGGGATTTTAAGAGATCTCTGCTGGACTTAGAGGAAAAGATGTCCTGATTTCTGTAGAAGCCGGGGGGAAGTTCTGCTGAACCCCTTGGCTGGTGCAGAACCACTCCAAAGCAACGCCAGTGAAAATCTGGGGGGTGCCAACACAGTGTGGAAGCCCCACTGTGCTGCTTCAGCATGGGCCACCATTTGGGCTGGATTTTTGGCTAAACCTTTAAAACTGGGAGAGCTGAAGAGGTGCAGAGAGAGGGAAGGGAGGGCTGTGACTGAAGGGCTGTCAGAAGAAGGATCAAACACAGGTCTGGGTGTGTCTTGGGAGAAGCAGCCCTCTGGGATCCTTTCCACTCCCATTTCTTTCAGAGTTCAAGGCACTGGAAAGGCAGACTCTCTTTTGGTTTTTGTCCCTGACAGTTTTCTGAGGAGATACACAGTGAAACTGTGCTGAGACATGGCAGGCTGTCACCTGGGAGCACCTCTCCCTTTCAGCTCTTCTGGATTCCAGATAATTCCATTTCTGTGCACACATGAGAGAGATTTTGTCCAAGAAGCTGGCTGAGGCTCCCAAATCCAGCCAGGACTGTGAATGAATATTTACAGCTCTTGGAGGGTTCTCCCCGTGACGGTGCATTCAAAGCACACAAACATTTTGCGGAACACATAAAAAATCGTCTTAAAATCACTTTTTCATGCCACAAAAATCTTACTCCTTTTAAGTTCGGGCAAGGTGTTAATATCCTTGGCTGACGGGAAACCTCTCAAATACCTTTGACATCTCTCTTGGCTGTGCTTCCTGCTGGATCTGCCAAGCATTCTTTCGATGTCAAGGCCTGGATTTATATGCTGGAAAGCACAGGATATTTTGAGGGCACAGAGTTAACCAGGTTTGCACAAAATGTCCCGGTTACGTAAAAGTCATATTCGAAAACGAAATCGATGCCTTATGGAAAACCCTAAGGATGGAAGCAGGGAGAGAAGCAGATACAAGCCCAGGCCTGGCTTTGCAGGAGTCTCCACCCTCCTGTGCTTTGACCACGACCCAGGAGGTTCATGGGCACCATCGCAGCCCTCACAGTTTCAAATCCCCAAATTACATCCTCCTGGAGAGGAGGGGGGTTTGAATCCTGTGAGACTGAAGGAAAAAAAGAAAGGCAGGTGAATTTCTATATTTGCCTTTCAGGGGTCTTGGATGCATTTTTAAAACATTTTTCAACAGCTGAAAAAGACAATAAACTTTATTTTTTCTTTGCTGGGTAGAACAGCACAGCCTGTCAAGAGATCTGAGCTCTGAAACATTCTTATTCTTCTGATTTATCGTTTGACTCCGGGAGCAGGGATTTCAGAAAAAAAGGCCAAGTGTCTTAAAATCCCTGATAAAATGTGAGTATGTGTATAAGGAAGGAAGAAATTGAGACTTTTAACTATTTTAAAAAAAATTTTACACTAAAAAAATAATTGTTTCTGAGATCTGATGGCAAATAGCAAACAGACAGTCTTTTTGGCACCTTTACAGGCACAGAGAAAATGTGAATACCTTGAAAGATGGAAGCTTGTGGTGGGGCCCCAGAGGTTCTGAAGTACAGGGGTTTTACCTGTTGTCATTACGTGCACAAATCAAGTATATTTGTGATACCTTTATCATAGCTTAGTTTGTGGAGAGTAAGATATTTCCAAACAACTGCCCTGGAATGGGAACTGAGGTTATTCTTGGTTTTCCTGAACTGGTCTGATTGGAACCTTTGATGAACTTTTAAAAAATATATTGAATATGCCTTTACAGAAGCAGATATGGATTATTGCTAAGTACATTCCATAATGGAAAGTCTCCATTTTTAGATGGGTGTGGATCCACCTGGAACATGTCTTTGTTTATTTGTAGGATTGTTTCCTGCTTTTCCTTATCACAAACTTCCAGCTGGGAGTTAAGGAGGCACCTGTGACGTCACCCAGACTGAGGGATGAGAAGAGACCTTTGTGTCCATGCTTGGAAGGAGCTGGAAAACCATCCAGAGGTATGTGGACTTCAGCTTCCCTCCTTCAGCTCTTAGTTCAGCTCCACTGAAACACAGGGGATAAGAGCAACAACAGCCCTGGACAATTTCACAGGGATTTTTAGCCTGGTTTCACATGGAATTACACATCTGGGTCTTTGCTTCCCCAGTTTGGAGCTGCTGACTGAAGTCAACACTTGCACTTTTAACAATAATCAAGTTCTTACCAATTTCCTGAAAAGAGGAGTTCAGGGAGTTCAGAGCTGGGTTTGCACATTTTCCCTTTTGCCCCTGGTAAATCTTTGGATCCTTTAGCCATTCCTCCTGCCTAAGTTCTCTGAGGGGTTTTTGCTGAGGATTTAGGAATAATAAATGGCACAAAATTCAGCGTTCTGCTTGAAGAGGAAAGTAAGTCTTTATTTGCATTGACCTATCAACAGGTGACTTGAGTGTCAAAGGTGAAGTGACTGAAGTGTCTGTACATTGTTTTTTAGGACTAGAAGGAACCTCCATGATTGTTTAGTATTTCCATGGCACAGGTCATCAAAGCTCAGGGAGGAATTCCTTCATCTAGCTGGAATTTCCTCCTGAAGCCACGGGATCACCTTCACAAATATGTTTTACTCTGGTATTTGCTAGAATTCATGTGCTCTCAGTACATCCCAAAGGGAATGGTCCTGATAGTTCATTGCTCACATGGGTGAAAAACCTTGCATTTTATTTGTGTTGAATTTCTCCACCATCACCTTCAGCAGGTGGATCTGGTGCTTTCCTGATGGATTTGAGCCCAAAGTGTGTTCTGTGTTCAGCACATGCAGAACTGGCTTGGCCTCTGCTTGAGAAATTGGAATTCATGCCTTGATTTGATAAATGACATACTGGAGCTAAACTAGTTTTGTACTTCTGTCTCATCCTTTCCCTGTATTAAGCTCCTTTTTGTGTCTCAAGAGTAGCCCTCAGAAGCAGGTGCAGCAATCACAGCAACAACAGAAGTAGTGTCATCCTTTTCTTCTGGAAAACAAAGGGGAGCAGGAGAGGGAGTTGACCCAGATTCCTCCCTTGTCACAGTGTCAAAGTCACTTAGGAAGATTTCTGAACGTGTCAAATCTTACATTACTCTTCTCCTACCTAAATCTGTAAGGGAAACAGTGATAAAATACATTTCAGTGATCTTTCTGTTAGTTGGGCTTCTGGAGATAAAGCATTCCAGTCTCCCCTAAGGCAGAAATCAGCCTGGGTATGATTCCCAGGGCTGATGGAGTGACCCTGCCCTTGGCACCCTCCAAGCTGCTGTCCCTGGGTGCTCCCAGCTCCATGGGAACACTCTGCAGGGGGCAGTTTACCCATGTGCATTCATCTGGACCAGGGAACTTAAAAAAAATTACCATTTTTTAAGCATGGATCTGAACGTGGATCCTTTTTTCCCATCTTGGCCTCTTTGGGATCTGCTGTTTCCAGCAGAGAATGCTCCAGGCTGCCTTCCTGGTTCTGGGTCAGTAAAGAGCAGCCAGTGTGGAAGTGGTAAAAATGGGAGAAAAATGGGTGAGATGAGACCAGAACTCCATGGGAGAACAGACCAGGAGACTCCTGAGTGCCCAAAGAGCAATAAAGGAATTATTGCCATCACCACCCTTGGACAGCTCAGCCCAGCAACGATGAGAGCTCCAAGCCGTGTACCCAATTCAAAGTTGATTAAACAATGAGTCTGGGTTATCTCAGCTATCCCAGAGTTAGAGCTTCCCTGAGAACACACCCTGGTCCTACAGGACACACAGCAAGTGTAGCAGGGTCAGTTGGTTCATGATCTGAAGGACCATGATAACAGAGCATGTCTGGGCTTCTGATCCATCGGGGAGGAAGATTATTTTTTTTTTAATACATTTTTCCCCTCAATGCTTCATTAACATGCCTTATTCTGGCTCTTGGGATTCACTCTAAAATGAAACAAAAAGTCACCAAAAAAAAAAATCTACATTTTCACGCCATGTTCCTCTGCAGTTACAATTAACCCTTGTTTTCCTTTCCTGTTGTGCACTATAAACATAGAACTTGCATTCCAAGTGGAAAGTGCACCCTGAATTCTTCCACCTGAATTGGAAGGATGTGGATGACTTTCTCTGTTCTCACCATGGAGCTGATCCAAAGCTCAAGGAAGGAAACTTCCAGCAGGCGTTGGCCTGTGTGTCACAGACACTTGAATGACTTTCTGCCCACGGTGGGAAAACAGAATTTTCCATTCTCTTATTTTCCTTTCTAAAAGGACATGCAGTATGTACTGGGGTATTTTTTAAATTATTTATACAACCGTATCCTGACAAGCTACAACTTCCTCCCGTGTAAACACAGCTCCTGTTTGTTTCTGGAGTGGGGAGCTGTGTTTATAAGGTTGGGGAGGGACCACAATTACTGTGGGCTGTGCTTTTCCAGAAATCCCCCCCTTTATTTTCTCTACAAACTTTGGGACTTTCTCCTTCTGTGGGTTTCAGATCCTTGTACCACAAAATATGTTTAATGTAACCCATGGCTTTGTTTTTGTTCAAAATTGCACCCAATTCCTGCATCCTCAAATGTCCCAAGGAAGATCCAAACATTGTGACTTCAATATGGATTTTGAATAACTGTAGACGTTTTCCAGTGAGCTCCAGGGGAAAGTTGCAATCACAAATCTTTACCGGTGTATTTCAACTTGAAATTCCAGCACCAGACTCTTTTTGTCCCGTGTTAAAGGCAATTTTTCCATTCTAGGCTTCCATTTCCTAAAGGTGATGAAAGCATTGAGGTGTAAAGGAACCTCGAATGTGAATGCAGGGGGAAAAAAGTCAAATTCTGGTCTGTCAGGTGCTTAAAAATGTTCATCTCTTGGCTGAGAAAATCACTGTGCTGTCCCCTGTGTTTGTTCTGTTTTCCACAGACAGCACAAAGGCCCCAAAAGTACTCGGGGATAGGGAAAGCCAGCAACCTGTGACTGTACAGGGTCTGTTCCCATCAGCTATCCCACTTCTCAAACTTTCCTGAGAGTCATTTTGGTATTTTCTTCTCCCAGATACCAGCCTTTTGTATGAAACTGGGTTGCCTGCAAATTCAGGAACCCTCTGGATGTTTTTTTGTGAAATCCCAACCTCAGTTTTGCCTCAGAGGATCCCGTGTGGGTTTGGAGCTGCTGCTTCCCTGGGACCAGAGCAGACATGGATTTCCAGGTGAGTAAGAATAAGTGTTCTGGGTGGGTCCTTGGGGAAAGATCAGCTTGTTTGGCTCTGTAAAAATCACATTTTTCCTCATGAAAATAACCTGGATAAGAAGTCATAACCTCTGAAGTTGAGGTGACTACTCAGTTAACTGGAAATAAAGCTCCAGGAGACAGGATTCCTGGAGAGGAAGGATGCAAGAGGCATCACCTGCTGTGCAAGTTTTACTCTGGTTTTTCTGACTTTGTTTTTGCTCCTAGAGGGAGAGTGGATTAAACAATAGCCCTCCAACTTGTTCTAGGCTTTGGGAATAACATCCACCCTGGAAGACAGGAATTTAAAGCATCGTGACCTCTGGCTAGTTGTAATAAAGATAAAAGTTGAGAGTAAGAGCCCAGGAAACTATCCCACAATTAAGATTTAATTCTGCAATTCAACATTCCCCCTCAGCCATCCACTGATTCTGCTTTGTGATGGAATATCTGACAGATGGCTGGGATCCTCTGGGCATGGATAAACTGTTATTATCAGAATATTAGCAGGCTTTTAAACCTTCCTCCTGCCTTAGCTGGTGTTGCTAATGAGGCACCAATCTTCCCTCCAGGGTTTGGTACCTTTACAAGTGGGTTTTCAAGGAAGTACATGCTGTAGGTACAGCCTGGCAGGAGGAAGATTTCCCTTCATATCCTTTCTGCAAAAGGCTAAATAGTCCTCCTGGTTCTTTTCCCCTTGTGTAAACAAGGTGTTTGGACCTTGAATTCAAGAATTTAGGAATAAGCTTCGACAAGCTTTTAGAATTACCCCAGAAGTAGAGGGGAGAGGATGTTCTGCAGAGGACTGCTGCTCCAGAACAAGGAGCAGGAAGGTATGAAATACCAGATGCACTGCTTTGGGTTTCATGCAAGGCACTATTTATAGGGTGATCAGTGAAACTGCTCCAGACTGCACTTATAAATAGATGAGCCCACGTTTCCCTCCTGTGCCAGAACTCTCCCAACTGCAGTTCCATGATTCTCTTATTGTTTTGCTGAACGTTGGTGGTGGCTTGTGGACCTGTGGCTGGGCAGGGGCTGATAAAATTGTATTTATCAATAGATTCCCCTTCCTAGTTGGAAGATGCTGCATGGATGGTGTATCCAGCCCCACTCTGGGAGTGGTGAGGGAATGTGGGGTCTGTTGCCTGTGCACAGATGAGACTGATGACACTTGAAAACCAGTCCTGGGGTTTCTAAGACACTCCAGGACTTTTGCCTGCAGTTTGAAAGCCAGGTTTTATGAAAGGATGACTTGCTGTGTGTGGAGCTCTGAGGAAATCCTGCAGGCCATGCCTTAAGCCCTTAAAATCTGCTCTGCTTGGCTGCTTTTGACTTTTTTTGTTTGTTTGTTTTTTCCTTTGGCCAGATCCTTTCTAACACAGAATTATGGCCCGGGAGCTCTTTGCCCACCAGACACTGAGAGAGTGACACCCAAAGCCATCATTTGTGGGATTCAGTCTGAGAGTTCACCAGCAGTGACTGCACCTGGATGGGGTTCCACTGGTGTCTGACACATCCCTGCACGAGGTCCAGCTGCCTGGAACTGAACGAGGGATCACAGCCTCAGGAATTCCACCCCAGCGTTATTGGAGCAAGGTAATCACCACAGAGAGCACTTAAAAATCTAGTTATGCTGGGGGGTTCTTGCAGCATGTGCTGATGTCTTAACCTGACCTTCACCCAGCTTCAGGTTCTATAGGAAAAGTGGCCATAATGTCAGAAAAGTGAATAGAATCTCAGAGCCAGGAATTGAACTTTTTTCCCTGTAGTAGTTAATGGACTAATGTACGTGACAACTTTGTTTTGTCACATCACACAGACTGTCCAGTGTGTGTTTTTCACAGAATCCCAAAATGGCTTAGGTTGATGGGACCTTAAAGTTCATCTCATTCCACCCCCTGCCATGGGCAGGGACACCTTCCCCTATTCCCAGGTCACTCCAAGCCCCATCCAGCCTGGCCTTGGACACTTCCAGGGATGGGGCAGCCACAGCTTCTCTGGGCAACCTGTGCCAGGGCCTCCCCACCCTCACAGGGAAGGATTTCTCTCTTGATATCCCATCTAAACCTACTCTGTCAGTTTAAAAGCCATTACATTTCTAATTAGCTGCATTTCTAATGCACCCAGAGGAAATGGAGGGTAAAACTATGGTGAAACATAAGGGAAGAGGATGTTTGGCAACAAGGGGGAAAGGTTTTTGCAGAGAATCATGCAGATTTTCTTGGGACAGATAAACACTGAGGCTTTTGGACACCTTCCCTCCCCATTTCCCTTTTGGTGCCCACGAGGAAAAACCCTGGTGCATGGACACCTTTAACCCCTGGGGTTGAGCCTCAAACTGCTGCACCACAAAAGGGGCTTTAAGAGGGGCAAGAAACTTTACTCTGCATCCTCTGGGATTGGATTTCTTTGTAGCCATCCCCTGTGACTGGATCCTTCCGTGTGGAGCCCCCAGGACACGAGAGCAGGTCCCAAGGCACTAATTTAATTTTTAATGCGCTGCCTCGCACACGCTGGAGGTGTCTGCAGGGATGGGGTGGTAGGGCTGGCCCCAGCCCCTGCCAGCTCTCACTAATGCTTCCTGTCCCTCCACAGGGCCTCCTGCCAGGGCTCCTCCCGGCCTGGGGATGCTGGCAGGGCAGCAGGAAAGCCATCTTGCCTTCACACTGTCAGCGTTTCCACTGCTGACTCCGGTGGCGTGGGAAGGAGGCAGCAGCTGGCCGAGGCCAAGCCTATGTGAGTGCCCTGTGCTTGAGTCATTTTCCAGGGTTTGGGATGTTGGGCAGGAGGAGAAATAGGCCTGAAGCTCGTGGGAGCTGGTGGTGGAGAAAATGGTTGAGAACAAATGCTGCGGGCACAGGGTAGGCACAGAGCAGTAGAATAGAGAAATAGGATTTTCTCAGCCGAAGAGTATGGCCAGACCTCTGATGTGCAGCCTGAGAGTGGAGTTACTAAGGGTCTGCATGTCCCTGCTGGCTCTTCCTTCCAGCAGAAGCCCTTCCTCTGTCACACACACATTCCATGTGGCAGAAGACTGCCAGATAGTGTGCCTGGAGATACCTGGCTGAGGGTTAATTCCTGAGGCAGAGCTCTGGGCTGGTCAGCCTTGGGAGCTGGTTGTGGAGAGCAGGGGAACCAAGGGTGATAATCAGGCACGTTTCTGTTTGCAGTGGCTGTTGGGAAACAGAAATATCCTGGGAAATGGATCCCAGGGAAGGCTTTGCTGCAAAGTGTTGCTGAAGGTAATGGTGTAACAGTGCTGGGTGTAACCCAGATGATGAGGAGAAACAGAGTTCTGTGAGGAAATGTTTGTGCCAGAGGAGCTTCCAGGCACCTTGTGCACATAGTGAGGAAGCTGAGTTTTCCCTTCAGGCAGGTTGTTGCCCATCTTTGATTTTTCCTCTCAAGAGCCTGGCCAAGTCTGCCACGAGACAGAGCAGCAGTCTGGGTCTGTGCCTTTGAGCCGTGCTCTGTGTCTGCAGCCGGGAGTGAGGGGTGGAGGGCAGGTGTGTCTGGTGGGAGGAACGTGCCTCAGTCACACTGGGAACCTGTGGAACTGGAACGCTGGTAGCAGAGGGCTCTTCCAGTCTGGTGGTACAGCCAGGAAGGATTTCATTGCAGTGTGAGTTTCTTGGTGTGTGTCTTCCATGTTCTCAGAAATTGCCACCATCCTTCAACAGAGTTTTTTGAGTTTTAGTATTGCCTTGGCAATTGTGACTCTTAGTATCTCGTCTAGATGTGCTGCTGTTGTTTCTGCTTGGAAGCACCTTGTGCAAACTCAAATGTGGCCCTTGGGGACGTGGTTTAGTTGTGGTGGGTTAATGGTTGGACTCAGTGACCTTAGAGGACTTTTCCAACCTGAACAAGTCTACCATTCTAATTTTGTTTCATTTTATTTTTAGAAGTGCATTAGATTATTTCAACTAGGATTTATTTTTAAGTTATCGCTCAGTGTTTGCCTTTACACACCTGTGCAGTGTTTTCCCCTTGGAGAAGGTGTCAATATGCACATGGATATATTTCTGTGGGATGAGCATCAGACTATATTATTGAGTGCAGTGGCTTGGTAGGTTCAAAACTAAAAAAAAAAATGAACAGATTAAGTCCATATTTTCATGGGCAAAATGTGTGTAAGGGAAAAAGCCTTGGGCTTCCCAAAGTAACTACAAAGTAACAGCAGAAGGGGAATGACTTTGCCCAACTTGTTGCTTCCCCTTTCACTTCATTTAACAACAGTTTCTATCATACCCATTCATCCCACCCCTTTCAGCTTGGTTAGTTGAGAGGGAATGTGGCCATCAGTGGGAACAACCTGTTTGTCTAACTGGGATTACTCACTGATATTGGGAAGTGCTGGTAATTAACCTGGTAATTACTCCCAGATGAGTTGTCACCAAGCTGGAGGTTTGGGCTTTGTAACACTGTGAGTGGAAGGTTCATGCTGAGAATACAGACAAATAGGTTCAGTAATTTTCAAAAATTAAACCATCATCCTTTCTGTCAAGGCTGGAGATGCTGCTTTTAACCATCAGCAGCACCTGCCCCGTTCTTTACCAAATGTGGGCTCTGTAGAAAGAAGAAAATGACTGTTAATAACTGGGATAACTGGTTGGAGCCCACAATGCCCCTGCTATTCTGGTTCTAGCTTCTCCAGGCGTTCATTCCTACCCAGTTATTTCCATGGGAATCAATGGCCCACCCCTCTTTGAGCTGTGGGGGTTAAGACAGACACAATCCTAAAATACGCGGCATGTTCTCGCTCACTCCCAGACACCGCAATCTTCTGTCCCTGCCAGCTTGCTTGATGGATATTAATAGTTGAGTGAAGGGTGATTTTTTTAGGATGTTTCTTAATATCCTAGCATTTGAATATAAATTACATATGTATTTATACACGCATTTTTGCTGCATTCCCAA